CCCAGCACATAACTCTTCATATAGTGGATTGGATACAAATGCGAGCACTCCCCTCATCCTGCTCAAAATCCCCTTACTTCATGTTAACTACATCAAAGTTGCGTGAATGGAAAACCTTGGAAAGTATTTAATATCTCTAAAAAGATAGAGCAGCAGATAGCATGTATTCCAGCAGCTCTTGAAGACAATCTCCAGACACAAACTTTTGCTCTGACCTTGCATTAGAGGAAGAGGTGCTGGTACTGCCAAATCAATAGCGTCCTTTTTGCTTATGCTTCATTTTCACCCATGACCAGAACTGGTCCAACCTCAGTTCTCAGGTCTTTTGACCCACCAAATTGAATTGCTTTTAATTTTTTTCTAGACAGCCCCCAAAAGCATTGGATTGGTACTTTACCGATGCAAATGTAGAAGCATGCAGATAATTCAGTTTGATCTGGTCACAGACTGAGTTATGGCTGGAGGCTGCCTATGAATCACTTTTAGCATAAAAAAGTATTCTCAAGAAATCCAGCAGCTTCTAACTGGTAATAACTTGAAATTCCATGTGAAAACTTGTCACAGGCAACTCAACATTTCCCTCAAACACTCATTTTACAGTTTAAAAGGAATCTTCCTTGTGCACGTTCATTTCTGCTTGTTGAGCCTCAAATATTTTAGTAAACAACCACTGGCAAGAAAGTCCACAGAAACAACCGATACCTGGAATAATTTCTGGAAAATTAATTTTGTGGTCATACATTCAGTACTAGAAGAAAGTTTGCTCCATCAGGATGCAAATTATCAAGGCTCTAGTATACATCCAGCTCCCAGCTGGAAACTCAATATGCTTAGGCTGGGGCCACAAAAAAATTGACGCAGGGACAGTCTTCAAGCGGAGTTTGGATGCGTTAAGGGGATGATGCAGTTGCTGCAATAGAAGAGAGCAGGATATCCCTCTTGGCCCTATAGGTACCAGGTACAGAACCACTAGCAGGAATCAGAACACCCTTTGGACACTTCTCCCTTTAATACCCACATAAGACAAGTTCATTTTCAGTTCAGCGCTTGAAGGCAACAGTCAGGCTGAAATCCCAGGTTCCCTCCTCCTACGCAATGCTTCTTGCTGTTGCTTACATTGCAATCTCCTTCAGGCTTACAGCTTGTATATACACCACAGGCTCTCTCCGGTACTGCTGATCACAACAGTGATTCGAACAATGAGGGTTTTTTTGTTTTTTTTTTTTAATTTCTGTGAATTTTCTTTGATGCTTAAATAACAGAAAAACAGCAAAACAAAATGAGGCACTCATTTGAATTACTCAGGAGAATACAGTAAGCTGTTCTAGGCTGTCAGATACAGTTGTAATTAGGTGCTTTTAGAAGTATAATATCTATTTTTATCTGGTATTTATTGCACATACTATATTTATTGTGCTGAGCACGTTATGCCCCTGATAGACTATTGCAGATTTCTTGGTACGTTATTGCCTAGGTGCTGTTGCTACACCCATTTTTGAGATTTGGAGACAAATCAATTGGATTCTGACATTTATTTATCTTCTTAGAGCAAATCTTTTTGTCTGGTAATGTAGGACTCCTAAAGAGATGTTACACCATGTCATGCTAATCCTCCTTAGTTCATGGATTACTGACCTAACGTACGACGACAGCCCTTTCAGAGCCACCATCTCGCACTGTGGTAATCTGCTGTCACACACACGTGCTGAAGCATGCGACCTCTGCACATCAAACCCATGGTGTCCTCCCTACAAGAACTCCCAAGAACAAGCCAGCTCCGCGCAAAGGCACCCTCAAATTGTACCTGCTGCTGAGATAGCTCAGAAAGCCCTCATTGCCTGTAGAAGGATGCATTTCACCCCAGAAGAGCAACACCCTGTCCCTAGAGGCTCTCAAAAACCCATGAGGTTTTCAGAAGAAATTCAAGCCAGCTGCTAGCTCTGTCTTGGGGCAATGCAGATGTACCCCAAAAGCAGAGGTTTGCCCCTCCCCAGGCTGTACAGAGCTATTCTCAAGGCTGCGTTAGCCCTAAGAGCTGAAAGGCAGAGCCACAAGTTCACTTCCCCGCTCCAGTTTCCTGTCTATCATGCCCACTCACCCCTGCCCACGTAGAAAAGAAATATCAGAACAAAGCAATAATTCTTTTCCCTTCCCAAACACCTAGAAAATTTGCATGACTCAAAGCTCTAGCTACCTGGCAGCATGAATGCAAACACACCAGAGCTTCCTGGTAGATACCAAGAAGCCACTCCACAGCTTGTTTAATTGATCAGCCCTTCCACTTCTTGAAATAACCCCCAGATCAATCCCGTGTCCTCAGCTCCCCCAGCCACAGAAAGGGCCTGAACTTAGCTGTTGCCATTTATTGCCTGAGCACCCTGTGGTGTATTTAGGCTTGCACTGCTCAGGTGTCATTAATTCACCCCGACTTCTCAGAGAGCACAAAAGAAAGGAAACCTCTCCCAGCCTCTTAGCTAATATCTCCCTTCTTCCAAATGCTCACATGTCTCATCCCAAAGAAAAGCCTCCCCTTCAGCTTTTCTGTATGTCTAATTTAGGACTGGAAACAAGAATAATTTTGATAGGTCTAGAAAGCTGTAGCACAGAGCTTTCAAGGGGAAGCATCAAAGTTCAGGAAAGGAAAGACACTGGAGACCCTACAGAGCTGGTTACAATATGGCAAGGATGAGTGACCTTTAGTTAATTATTCTGTAGAAACACTACTAATTCTGCTTATAGAAATACAGCATCGGGTTCATAACAGTAAGTTGATATCCCTGACAGCACCAGGCAGCCTTCTGCAGAGACCTTCAGCTTGAACCACCCTGCCAGAAGCTCCTGACCTACAACCCAGCTTCTAAAGAACAAAGACCTTTGCTATATCTGCTCCTCTATGAGCCAAGAGGCTGCCAAGTGCTGCTTTCCAAAAGAAAACCAGGTTTGCAGACCCAGAGCCTCTGGCTGACCTGACCCCAGAAACAGAAAGCAGAGCTGTGCCAGGGAGGGTTTTTTATAGCTCCTGTCTGCTGTCCTGGCACAATCTCATAGTGAGAAAAAGCTGCACCTGCAGGGAAACCACAGCCAGGCACTGAGGATAAAGCAAGGGTAATATCACTCATTTCACCTTTTTACAATCCCATGCTTTGGGTTTTTTGGCTAATGGGGAGAGAGAACTGCAGTGCAAGCACTGTGTTAGAGAACATCCTTGCTACCACAGGTCGGTCTTGGAAAGTGAAAAAAAGCCATGGGGTAACACAGAAATTTTACAAGTTCATGAACAGTTGTATAATCTGAGATGTTCTGTTGTCTTTGTATGCCATGTATGTGAGAGTCATGGGAATTTGAAATGGGCAGTAAAATAGTAAAAGACGTATTTTTTTAGTGATAATATATCAACCTGAGAAGTGAATGAGACTATATAGCAGCTCTTTATCTCATTCATAATCTTAATATGTTGAAATGCCTACATTTTAGTCTATCTGGCTACAAGCTTTTAAAGTATATGTTTATAAATCCCCGAGAAGAAAGACATAAAATGAAACAAATGACAGCTTTGAATTATAGTTGTGATGAATATTGTCATAATAAATTCACTCCTCACCCAAACGAGCGATGAGGGATTCCTTTTGTACCACACCATGTTTTCACAAGTCACATACAGTGACTCGTTCAATTTATAGCTTGCTTTTGGGCTGAAAGTCTACACACATATTACATGAACTCAGCTGTACATGATTCAAAATTATTTGGTTAGGAATATCATGTTTCTAGATAATTTAGGCTGAGATTTTCTGGGTTGTGCAAGGGCTTTTGTTACCCAAGTCAGAGGAACTGATGTATCTAAATCCTCTGGGCAGTGTGTCAAGCCATGATCTTTTAGAGGTGTTCAGCTATAATTGCAAGAGGAAGGGATGCTGAAATGACAGTCAAAACAATGCTTTCATATGGAAGATTAGCCACTTTCAACACCATGGTCCTTATCGGAGTTGTAACGTATATTAATCACCAGTTCCCTACTTTAACTTGACTTGCTGTTGCTACAAAAGGGGATGGCAATTCAAACAACTACTTCTGGAACACTTGGCTATTGTGCACAGCTTTGCTCTGAAAGAGATTTCCAGTGAAAAATGAATCCATTTAGACATGATGGCTACACATTTTGCCATATCTTTATTGCACTTTTACCACGTTGCAAACAATTCCACAAAAATGCTGCAAAAGTAAGCCTAGAGCTGCTGAAAGCAGCTTTTTACCCATATATGTATATATTTACACAAAACTATCAAAAGCAAAGTTGAAAAGTAGCAGCTCAGCTATGATAGTCTAGAAAGATAAGAGCTGCCAGCTCCTTATGGACAAATAGTACAACTTGTCATTTTACATCACTTTGTAAAACCAACATTCAAGTATTCCTGTCAATGCACAATTAGTGAAATTCCCTTCCGGTAACCATTGTATTTATTATTATTATAATAATTATTATTTTTTGCATTTTAAAGTTCATAATGCCTTAACCCTTTAAATGCTGAGTAGCTGGGAAGAAAAAGCATTCAATTTAAATAAGATACAGTGGATTAGAGCACTTAAAGGGTTAACACAAAATACTACGTGGACTGTCACCACAAATAAAGTGTGAGTCACAAAATTATGCCGTCCCTCTTAGTTAAATTTGGTAGGTAGGTCTGGGTTTTCATAGATATACCATATATAAATACAAAATATTAAGTAAAGGCCTCCTTTCTATACAAAAAGGACAGGAGGTGTTTTGCTACCAGACTGTTGTGTGTTAATGATCTCAGTATTTTCTGAGTCTTTTCATAATCTCTCTTTAGGACCTAATGAAAAGCATCACATTAGACTTATTTTCCTTAGTGAACTGAGCCTTTTCAGAGTCTACACTTTACCTACTTTGGGAACAATTATATCTCATTTCTGAATTCACTGAATTCACAAAGTGGCATATACAGTCTTTTGCAAGACTTTTTGTTTTTCCCCCCCCCTCTTTGAATCTTCTTTACTTGGCTGGTAAAAACGTAGTCTTGTGATTTCACTACCTCTCGGTCGTAACAGTGTTAACATCAGTGTTAAAGTCATTTTCAACCACATTGTCATAACCATCCTTTTCTACACAGTCACTAACAGCCTTGAGGACAATCCGCAGCCGCCTGTCCATCGCCTCCAAGTGAGGCTGGTAGAGAATGGGAGCTATTTTATCCTTTAGTAAAGATTCCTTCATCAAGAGACTGAGTTTGTATTCCTCCTTGGCTAACAACTGTAATCGCAGATAGGTAGACTTCCTTATTCTAAGAGAAAAAGGAGAAAAAAAATGCAAATCAGTATTTTCATCACTATTGATCTTGACAGGGCTAAAAGGCTTATAGTCAGCATAGCGGTAACAGCATAAAAACCTTATTATGTGATCTGAAATGAAGAGAAGCAGGCACTGTCACAGTCCTAATGAGCAGCTGGCATTGTCACCTGCCCAGTGATCTTTGGGAGCCCTTAAAGGTGGAGAGGTTTTGGAGCACAGCTCTACAGTCAAGTGCAGAGAGCCTTCATGTTCCTCGGCTGGGCAAGGCACCGACTGGATGTCGTGCAGCATTCATGGGGTCACATCCATCTCGGCACCAACATTCATGATGCATGTGGTATTGAGCTGCAGTGCGGGTGGTGGCAGCAGGGGCTCCCACTAGCTCACGCTGCAGGTATGCCCAGAACCTCCGCAGATGCAGAGCTCACCTTGTGTCCCAGTCGCAAAAAGCTGAAACTCTAAATATCACCTGTCCTCTCTGAAAATCATGGCCGTGGGCACTGTGGAAAGCCATTGTAAAGCACTTGAACAAGCTGGGGAAAGTTTTGCCACTTGACTTCAATGGGACATGTATTTTGTCTTAATAAAGCCTCTCTCAACAGCTCACAGCCACGCTCCTGCAAGGTCCTGATCTCAGCCAAGCGCTTAACGTGTTAGTGCCAACGCTCAGGGCTAGCTTGGGTCAGACTCACTGGGAAGGATCATAACATCTCCTCCTCTCCATGGTATGGAATAAAAGATTCACTTGAACATTTCAGTCTTATTAGCGGCAACAACTGTGTAAAATGGGAAACAACTCCGGAGATGAAATGTACCTGCAGCACTGGTTTAAAGGCACCAATATGGAAAGTTCGTCATGGGAATATTTTCCAAACCTGTTTAAAGATAAGAGCAAGAACATGATAAAGGCTGTTTTAAAGACTTTTTTCTTTTTCTTCCCCAGAAAGATTATTAAAGGTATTTACCCTCTTCCATTATCTAAGTGGATAATGAATGTTTCGTTTCCAAACTTTTCAAAGGTTTCGTAGTGATGTCGATCCATGTTACCTACGGAATAAAGAGAAAAAAAGACCGTTATCTCTCTGGCTTGCTGCTGAGCCTGCAGGTCAGGGCAATACAAAAGCTATGGTTCGGTGAGAAGCCAGCGCTCCCCAAACTTGATGGCTGTGTAGGGCAGAGAAAGCAACAGGTCGACTGAGCTCATTTGCTTCTACTGTGGGAAGCCCAGAGTGTGTGGTACTGGAAGATGGGCAGTTATGCCTCTGCGAGCTTTTCAAGCTCTCTGTAGCTTTTATACTTAAGCTCTAGAGGACCATCAGGAGACAAAACCAAACTTCCCACACTCCAGCAACCCCTCCTGGCGTGTGCCAAGGAAATCTCTCTCAGGTACAATGGCATCTCAACTGCTTGGGGAGCCTGGTCATCTGTGAGGTAGCTATGTCCTAAGCCAGCAGAGCTTCACTGGCGAAAACAAGCCCTGCTGCTCCAGCCCTGGGTCAGTACGGCCTGCAAAGCAGCCATGGTATGCGTGCCAGGTGTGAGGCTTAGCTTAGGGAGGGGAAAATGCATCCTTCAAGCATGGATGTTAATCCATATGACTTTGCTAATACTGTGTTAAACTTTTTGAACCATGACCAAACATCCTGTTTTTCCTCTAATAAGAACTTTGTCCAAATTTCTGGCTGCCTGGAAAGCCAAAACGATATTATGACTCTAAACATATGGATCAGGATGCTACTGCAGTGGTACAGCTGAACAGCTCTTTTTGGGCACCCATGGCAGGCAGACGCATGATCTGATTTTTAAGGTCAATGTGCAGAGTACTGGTGCCAAGTTATGAATTTTGTCTTCATGGTGGGGGTCTTGAACCACTTATAGATGCCACATATGGCTCCTGAGCTGTGATTTGGCCTCTCCTGCTGCACCCTATTGCAGAAATCTCAGTAGTGGCAATGGCAGAGGATATGTCCATGCTGGCATCTGTCCAAGGATCAAGTATGTATGTTGGCAGCTTGCAGGTATATTAGCTGCAGTAGAACAGGTTTCACATGAGAATGTCTCAGTGTTAACCACTAAGTAGGCTTGGAATAGGTCACTATTACCTGCTTGTTAATAATTATTTTATTCCAATCAGGTTACATAAACAGAAAAAAACTTCCTGATACATATCACAGTTGCCTTTGTGACACAGCAACACCTCTTTTTTTCCCCCCCTCTGACAGTTTATAGAGCAAGCAGCAGTGAATACTACCGCAGGTTGAAAACGTGACAATAATGAACAGTCCTTGCATGTGCATCCAGGAGCCATACATTACAATGGTAAAGCACTCACTAAAGCAAACTGTGAAGCCCTTAACTGTTGTGAAGGAGACTAGCTTGACCTGCGTTCATCATCACTCTGCATTTCTGAACATCTTTGTTCCTTTAATCTGCACTGATGGGAATACATAACCATGTAAATCTGCATTTTCTCATAATCATCTAGAACGACACATACGGTAAATGCAGCTTCAACCATGCTTTAGCAAACTGCTGAGCTATGCAGAGTGGTGTAGAAAGAAATGGTTCTTATTCTAATTAAATGTTGCATTTAATTTTTGAAAGAGATGAAACATACCCATTAGGAAATCAAAAACTGTCATATCCATTATATCCAGAATTCTGGTCCCACTGTCATACGGGGGTGTTTGTTTAACCTCTTCACAATAATCTGGATCAACTTCCCATCTGGAAAAGCCAATATTTTGATATTTTATGTGACATACGAAGCTTAGTGAGTATTACAAAAAAAAAATTATTTTGCAAAGATCTAGTTGTATCATGTTCGATTGAGGGCAGGGTCAGGTAGAGGCAGCAAATTCTTCAGGCTGCTTCCAGTAATGCAGGGAACCGATAAAGATTGTGACTGATGAAAAAGGAAGAAAATCCCAAGATTGAATACTATCTGGCTAATAGCTTCAAGATTTAGGAGACCAGCTGCACCATCAGTCATATGATGAAAATATCTGAGACTTGTTTAGGGCTGCTGATAGCAGTGAATCTTTCTGCCTCTGATAGGACTTAGACAGATCCCACTGCATCCTGTCAAAGCCACTGGAGGTATCTGTCCCACAAGGGAATTATGCCATTGAAGGTCCTTTCAGGTTCAGGACCATAAGCTGGAGCTCCTTGCAAGTACTCTGTCCCTTCCCAGGACCTGTACCCACTGAAGAAAAGCAGATGCTCTCCTAAGCCTCAATGCTTTAGATCAGTCAAGGGCAGTAACTGCACCACTGTTTTATTTTCCCTTTATTTTTCCCTTTGCAGCTGGTGAACCCTTTGCAGCTGGCGAACCCTTTGCTCACCACTACTCACTCTGCTTTCTTGCGCTTGTGGTAGGAACGTCTCCAAGGGTTTCTCCAGGTTTTCCTTTTAGCTAAAGACAAATCAGGTAGGAAAGCAGCCAGAGACCCTTCGATCTGATCTGGTTTTCCACACAGGGCGTGCTCAGTTGAGCAGTAGTAGGAGCATTCCCCATAGAAGCAGATGTTGTTGGCTGGCAAATAAAGGAAAAGAGGTTTAAAACCTACCCTTAAATTAGTGTTCAAGAATTCATAAAAACACTGATGTATGTCAAGGAACATGAGCAGAAATAAATCTCAGACCCAAAACCCCATTACTGCACATAGTTTTCTTCCACTGAAACCACTAGAAAGACATTTATTTCCGTGGCTGGGATCACACCCTATGCTGAGCTCTCTGTGACTATTTCCAGTCTATTTATATTCCAAAACCACCTTTTTTTTTAATCTTTTCCATTCTCCTTTCCTTTTCCCAGACTGATACATCCTTTGGGATATATTTGTTACCTCAGGCTGGAACCCCAAATCCCCCAGCTGAACAAGTGGCATGTGCCCCAAATTAAGTCACCTTTCAAAATCTTGGCTCATTTCTTTAAGAAAAGACAACAACATTTCATTCATTTACTTGCTGGTATGAGAAGAACTGGCAGTTTTACTAAGGAGAATTATTTACCATGAAGACTCATGTGGGGGTGTATGTGGAAGGTGGAGCTAGCACAGATGTAACTCTGTCAGCACACATCCCAAACACAAATTTCTTCCTCCACACACCACGTTACTCCAACAACCACAGAAAAAGAACCTGCAGCAGGTTTTGGAGCGTGTGTTGCCTTAAAATCTCCCCAAAGCTGCCCCCACATACTTCTGTACCAACAGGAACATCCACCTCTTTACAAGAACCCCCTTCCCACATGAATTCACTGGAGGTGGGAGAGAGCAGCTCATCCCCAAACCCCACCAACGTTGGGCTATGAACAAGAACAGGAGCACAATGCTGATCTTCTTGTCGGTGTGCTACAACACTTTTGACATTGCTTTATGCACATAAAATGTCATTAGAGGAAGACTGTGCCCTTTCCTTATGGTAACACATGAAGCTGAGAAGTCGCATTGCTTCCTAATTCCCCACAAGGCCTCTAAATTTAAATATTGCTTCTGAGCTACTCTCCCTTTGGGCAGGATCAGTATAAATAAGGCAGGAAGAGCTGGTGAATAGCGGGAGGTGATTTTCTGTCTGCCACAGATGACCCCATGGCTTGGATAGGTAAGCTGGTGGGTTTTCATTGCAGTGATGCCCTGCAGCATGCCACCCTGCACATTGGTATGACATCGCTCTGGTCCAGATTCAACCTACGGCTGGCAAAGCGCCTGGCGGAGATGGTACACTGATGGTGGGTGATGCAAGGGCGACGATGAGTCAAGAGGGCAGGCAGCAATACCAGCCTCAGTGCGACAGAGATAACAGCAGGGAGGGAGAAACAGGGCAAGGAGCTGTGATTGCAGAAGGAGGAGAAGGAGAATGTGGAAGAGCAAAAAGGCCTCGTGATGTTTTTGATTGTATTAATTAACCGTATTATCTAGGACCGACTGCTAACCATGAAATTACACCAAATAATTGTACTACAAGGCTGATGTGTACTACTTGACAGTTTGTCTCAGCTCTTCACTTCCAAGCCTCTATTGATGGTCATCAGATTTGTCCATTAAGTTGTGATTACTTTACTCTGGACACAGCCTTTTTGAATCCCTCTGCTGTGACTGACTCACAAGGACCACCCATCCACCTATGCTCAGGAACAACTCCAACACGAACTGTATATTTACATTCACAGGGTTGACTCATACCAGTTAAATATATCCTGACTCAGTCCAGAAATATTTACCCTGTGGTCAAAAACCTTGTTGACAGTTACTGAAAGAAAAGTACTTCAGGGAAGAGAAAATGAAGAACAGAAATTATAAAAGGAAGGAAGGGAGCACTCAGCATGTCTACACTTTTAATTTTGTAATTTAAAGTGTTTTACCATGCAGAATATCCTTTCTTAAAAATTATTTTTAAAGCTTTTTCTTACTTATAAAGCATACTTAGTCCCTTAACATTTTAATTAAAGGAACAGTAGTTTGAGACTTCCCATGAGCTAAGAAGTGACCATGTCCTTGACCAATAAGCCACTCGGCTTGGCTATTTCCTATGAACTCCAGCACAAGTCTTGGCACTGCTCATCACACGATATGCCTATTAACTTCTAAACAGAAACCCCACTCATTTTTCCGTTTAAGCAACTCAGTAATATAACTCAAATCTCTGAGAGTGAAGTTTTGAAAACCTTTTTACAAATTGCATGAGCAAAGAGCAATCACAGTTAGGGAAACTGGGGTTGGAAGGGACTCTGGAGGCCTCTGGTCTAAGCTACAGCTTCAGGCCAGCTTCTCCAGGTTAAAAAAATTTGAAGCCCTCAGCTTCTCCTTCTATACCAGATGCACCAGCTCCTGGACCATCTCAGTGGCCCTCCTTCGGACTCACTCATCTTGTTAGTCAAAAATCAAGTGTAAAGTCAACATCTAGACAAACCCACCCTAACGCAAGCCCTGGGCGTGCTGCCCTGCAGTCTATAACCTCTCATGGTTTTTTTTCAAAAATGCTATCACAGCATGGACTTGGCATAGCTTTTGCAGGGCTAACACAGGTGCCTCAACTTTGCCTTTGATCATCCTGGCAAAACCAGAAGGGCTTCATGCCTCCCTGTGAACCTCTTCCATAATTCAGGATGAAAGTAAAGAGTTGTCCAAGCACCTGTGGGCAGCACTGCCAGCTGCAGATGGCCTGCAAATGGGAAGATCATACTGGGCCATTAGGAAGGTTGGAATATTCTCAGCCAATAAAACCTGGGGGAAAACATCTGTGATTTATACCCTTAAAAGACATTTTTGCAGACAAAATATTTCAAGGGGTTCCAGGCTGCCACAAGGGATGATTTACAAAAAATCACATACAGATGCTGCTTTGCTGCTTGCTGCAGGCTAGTACAGAAGAGTTAGGAGATATAAAGAGATCTCATATTTTCCGGGTGCCTGCTGCCTCGGTGGGAAGGTAGGGTTCTCCCCTGCACTGCAGCGAGGGTTTATGTTTCCACCGATTTGAAGCTGCAGTGGGGCTTGTGCTTCAATTCAGCTGTGTCAGCATCACCCGCTCATCTGTGGAGGGAGGGAACCCACGCAGATTTATCTTGATCGCCTGAGACAATTTATCTTCCAGGGTTTCTATGACCTGACTTCCACCTGGCAGCAGGAAGCCGATGCTTGCTTATCTGCTGCCGTAACCGTTTTGTAAAGAGCAAAAGGCCCAGCAATGCCCCTCCTGCGCTATCACAGCCTCTGCTGCTCACTATGTAAATCTGACCTTTCAAAAACAGAATTATATTAAACACAGCATTTTGCACAGTGGGAAGATAAATACTGTGTTTAATAGTTTGCTTCTGAATTTAACTTTGGGAACAATGAAACCCTGCTCCATATTGTCAACGAAAGCAACTGGGACTAATCATTTGACAGTAATCACACATTCGTATCCAGATAAATCTTCAGGAAAGCTCGGGGGCTATGGCAGCGATGGCATTCACTGCTGCAGAGTGACACAGCTAGCACGTGTGCTGCCTGCACCACGCCAGGCCGTTCATCCCCGCTCCTGCTGGGCTCTTCCAGGTACTGATTTTCCCACAGAACCCCCATCACCTGCAACGGGAGTCCAGTCCTCCCAGCAATGGTAGGATGCATCCTGCCATTAAGACAGCAAACTTGCAGTAAAACCACAAGTGTATTTCTTGGTGAGAAGTTACTTTCAATGGCAAAGCTTTTTCTGCCAGCTGTTATTCTCCCTGTAGGCTCAGACCTGGTGATGCTTACTCTCCATGGCTCCTGTCCGATTTCTGGGGGTAGTGGAGGTTAAGGGATGCTGTATCTCAAGTTAGTATTAAAGAAATTAACTGCTTTGATTGATACAGAATAGACATCTTGGTATGTCTACCCTAGTTCTTACATACAGGCAGTGAGATGAAGCAGCCTGAATTATCTGGGGAAACATTCATTTTTAAGGTTTCTTAAAAATGTAGAAAAAAAAGAGGTACCAAATATAGAAAGCCACAGTTCTCATTTAAGACTTCAAGGTGGAGTAGCAAGCCTCTTTGAAACCTAAGTAGGTGACCCACATTCTGCACAGCAGGCTGAGGGTGAAATTCCAGCTAGAGACACAAGCCCAGCGCTTTGCTGGCAATCCTATACCAAGAGCAGGGTTTGGCTTTTCGAAGGCAAAAGGCAGAGGGAAAGGGGAGATGAGGTCTAACTGGAGTGTGGTCCTTCTCCTCCCATTAAAACTGCCCAGCCCCTCTCTCATACAACACACATGCTTCTGTACAGACCCCCGTCCCTAAGTACATCTGCAAAAGAAGCGACCACCAGGAATTTGTGCTCCTGCAGAGTGGGTAGAAATGGAAACAGCAGCAGTGCTGGCAAACCAGAAAGGGAGGGATGTTTACACATGCTGAAATGTTCAAATGCTGGGAATTTGCAACATGCAAACTTCTTCTCCATTAAAAAACAAAATTGTTTCCCCAAAGCACTAGAGAGGCAAGAAAATCCCGAGTAGTGCTGCAAATGTCTGATTTTCATTATCTGAGGTTGAATGGATACAATTCGTAATGAAATCCACGCAAAAATCATGGTGTGGTGATCAAAACTCCCAATTAATTACAACAATTAAGAACCAGAGTGTCTGTGTACTCATCTGCATGTTTTCTGTGCGTCATCCTGATAGCTGAACAATAATTCTGCCCAGGAAGAAAAGGAACAAGTGGAGATACCTTAAAGCAAATTGCTTGGCAGAGCAATTCTTTTATTGAGATTTGCATGACTGTTAATAGAGGACATTTAGCAAGCCTGCGGAACTGGAGTACTGGAAAGAACCCTGAATATTTACTAAAGCAATGCATGAAAAGATCTTTCTTTTACCTGCTCAAAATAATAGCTAATTCAGAATTACTATTGTTTGCTGACAAGGGAAAAAAAAATCCATAATCCCTTGGAATTGGTTAATATGAACAAAAACATAGCGCTTACTAGCTGTGTAACATTGATTTCTTTAAGCTGCTGCCTCAATTACTTCCAAAATGAAGGCTGACATCATTAATGTCTCTTTTTTCCTAGCAAATTACCATTCATTTGTAAGAGTAGCAGGGCTACTGCAGTTTGCCCTACTGCTAAGGATGTAAAATTAATTTAAATAATTACTGACCTAATTCCATTTCTCATGTTTAGTCCAAACTGCCTGAAAGTGCACTTTTCTGCAATCTGCTTTCTCTCTGAATGCAGCCTAATGCATTGACTGACCTGTCTGCTTGCAGCCATTTCCACTTTCCAGTGGAAGAAGGGATGCCGCTCTGCAGCGTGCTCTGAAGCTGCAACTGCCTGCAGCTTCCTGGCGGCAGGAGACCCTGATTTCCATGCCTGATGGGACAAGTGAGATGGCCCAGGTGTGGAAATGCAGTGAGTTTTCATTCAACACATCCCCACACCGTTCCAGGGAACAATACGGTGTATTAATGAGCATCATCAGTATTTACCCTCTGAGGGTTTCCACTGCAAACAGTGGTCTCCCAGCCCAAGGGGAAGAGGTTCATATAAAATCATTTACATTTAGTGCTCATTTAATTTTAAGAGATGGATATGGGTGCATGGAGAGAGATACATTGCCAGCAGACACAATGTGTCCCCATGACCATTAATTGTTGCTGAGCACTGCTGGGGATGGAGATGCAGAGACACAGCCACCTGAAAGGGAGTCCTAGAGGGGCCTCAATAGCTTAATGTGGGTGCACAGACTGATTCTTGCAAGTACCTACATGTCACACCACAATTTCTCAGCTTTGTAATCAGTTCTCCCTCAAAACTAGCTGAATTTGCTGCCCCTCATCTGCCAGAGGGGACAAGTCAGCCTCTTCCAGTCTTCCCTGGGGTTCCGGTCCCTCTCCTTCCTCACCTCTCCAGGCCATGGGGCTCATCCCAGAACCCTCCTCTTTTCCCTTTTCTGCCCTCAATCGGCTGCTTGAGCTGCCTGCTATGTTTGTGAATTTGTTTCTAAATGCTTAATTTAGGACTTTTATTACTTTTTCATTAAGCATTAATTAATGCCTGCCTTTTAAGGTCAGTTTGAAATACAAGATGGAGGTTGGGCATATGTTAATGAGAATCCGACTAATTAAACTGGGGACTTGTAGGGAAGAACTCTGACAAGTAACCAACATGATTTAAGCAAAGTATATTGATTTAGGAAATGTAAAATTGAAAGAAAAATTAATTGCTTAAGCATTTTATTCTCCAGAAAAGCCTGATTCATAGTTAATCAAATATTTTAATTGAATTTATCTGAGGCCTCTAAAAAAATTTGAATAAAGGATTATGCTTGGATCATCCCTTGGATGTCTGGAATTTCATAATGACAAGATCAAAATCTTCATCCAAACTGGCAGCCTTAACTCTGCATTGCCATGCTCTGGCTGCTGTTAAGCTGCTCAGTACCTGAGTACAGTTTTGTAATTCTCAGAAATCACTCAAGTTCACCCCTAAGCCTTGATATACAACCTGGAAAGACTAAAAAGCAAGCAAACCTACTAATCCATGTCTTACTTGCTAACACGGGAATAAAATGGCTTATATTTCAAATGAGCCAAAGTACCTTGTGCACATAAACAATCACAAGATTTTTTGCCATCTTTTGTGTGTGATTGCCTACAAAAAAAAGAAAAAATCAAGCAAAAAAAAATGTAGAGAGACAGAGAGGGAGAGACAGAGAGGGAGAGACAGAGAGAGAAAGAAATAGAGAGTCGTATTGGTTCCTGGGGTCAGCCCTCAAAGATACACAAGTGCCTAGCACACAAAAATGTCTGCACATCAGGTTTGGCGAACACTGTCACCATGTACTCTTGCCATGTACTGTCACCACTGTCATGACGACTGTACATGTAAAATTGGAGCACTTATAACACAGGGTAAGATGAAACCTTTTGTAATTATGTAATGTATTTTACAAGTGAAGCTACTAGAATAAACAACTGTCTGCTCAACTGTGTGTCTTGCAGAGCTGAACGTAAATATTAAGCTAAAAATAACGGCCATAATAATGACTTTATTGGTGATCATAAAAGTGTGATGAACATTTTAAGAGAGAAAGCTCTGCAATGACAGGGCTCTGGTTTTCAGCTAACAGCAATAAATTACAGTTACATCAGAAAAAAATGTAATTAAGTCTTTGGATCTTGACTTTAGGGATCTAGGATAAACAGCTTCTGGCCAATCACACTCAGAGCAAGGGAGAGATCTCCAGAGATTTCTGCTCCAGATTGCCTGTTACACAAGTCACAGCCTGAGTTCAGCAAAGTACATTTGCACACAGCTGAAATAATATGAGTTAAGCTTACTGGAACATAGCTACGTGCTTTAAATTGAGTACTTCCCTATATATTATTTCTCTAAGAACATACTTAAGCATGTATTTTTGTGCCTTAACTCAGAGCCTTAACTTCTCCATGACAGCATCCCAGATGCTAAACAGAGATGATACCACTTTCTCCCACCCTTTGCCCATCCTTACGCATTCTATATGTATATTTTGGTGAGCAGGGCATGGTTTTACCCTGTGTTTGTAAAATTCCCACCTTTGGAGCTCCATCCTTGGCTGGGGCCACCAGATGTTGTGAAAGAGTGAAGAGTAATAGAAATAGAGAGTCGTATTGGTTCCTGGGGTCAGCCCTCAAAGCAAGAACGAGGACTGGGAACAATTCAGATCACTTCTACTCTGGCATCTACCAGTGGAGAATTTGAGCTGGAAGCAGGATATGTTACACATCTACTTTCTTGATTTTTTTTGAACTCCTGCTGTAACAAAAACTGAGGTTCATGACTCTGAGAAAATTAGGTTTTGGTCCTCCAGTCAAAACTGAGAAATAAATGCATCTGAGCAACAGAAGTGACGGATCACATTGCAGTAGGAAAAAAAGTCTAAATAACTAATGGGCTAAGTAATAACACTTTGAGTAAACTGAGAGCAACAGAAGAAATTGCTTTAGAATTTACTCTACATAAAACATTTGTTGAATACATTGCATTTGTGAACATAAAAGCCTGTCTCTGTGGATAATTTGTCAAGAGGAAAAGGCTCAATTCAAAACAATAAAGTCTTCTTTGTAGGCTATGCCTCCACATTTATTTTTATTCAAAGGTCTAGAAGACAGTTCTATTAGAAATAGCTTAGCAATTAAGCAATCTACACATCGTTCCCTTAAGTACGTGTTCGGTGGGATAGAAAGAATATAGTGTTATTTCCAAGACTACCTGGTGAGATGAAAAACGTTCTCCACAGTTTCTTGTCACGAGTAACATCTCGTATTTCTCTTGTCATGTTAACCAGTCTACCTGCAACTGGTGGCACGCGACGGAAATCCAGGATCCTGGAAGAGAAAGAAAAGAGATAGTTTATGTAAAGGATTAAAATATAATGATAGTGATAGGTTTTAGGAAGGTTCATTACACTCTGAAGGCACATTTATCTGTGGTCTTTAAGGAGTAAAAAGCCCATCAACTTTAAACTGGATAATCCTTTGTATAATATATTACAAAATACGTCCTGAATATGATCAGCTCTGACTTGCCTACATAGTATGGAGCAGATGCAAAATACAGAAGACTATGGGGACACATTGTTCCATGACAAAAATCAAGAATTCCAGAAATAAGAGACAGCAGAAACTTATTTTTGACTTTGTGCTACTTCAGGATTGTTATAACATGCATTTTGCTCACCAATTTTTTAAGTGACTTGAGGAATGGGATTTCAGCCTCTTTCTTACATAAACACCATCTAATAGATCTAAAACGAGTATTTTTTTTTTCCTGACAGTCTTAGTATTGTTTGATTTATTTGCTTCTGCTCCTCTCTGTTTTAATACCCTTACACCAACCTAAACAATCTCCCTGAGACTAAAAATTTTCCCATGGGCAAAGACTGGCTGAAGAGCCTTTTTCTACCCCAAGCTCCCCCACCTTGGTAGATCATTAAAAACTCTTTACGAAGCATTGCTATTAGATACAGTAAAAGAGCAAAGTCCCCATACAAAGCCTCCCCATAAGTGGGATTTTTATGTCCACTCTCTGCTGGTAAGGTTTTCTACATTGGCTAGTGTCTGCTTTTTCTGCTTAGTGTGTGGATATTTAACATACCTCCTTGCAGGAACTCCATTAATGTTTTTTCCTACAGCACCATCTGCTTAAAACGGCAATATAAAATATAAAGCAGAAGGGATCAACACCAAGGTTAACAACAATAAAATATAGAAGATCCTTGAAGGATCTGACCAGGATGGCTCTTAATGGCAAATCTACCCTGTACCACCCACTGATAGGTTCCCTCATCCTAACCATCAACCCAGAAGGCAGCCATATTACACATACCCCCAAATAATTTGTGGCCACAAAGCTTCAAGCTTTTGAAGGATGTTTCTTGGCACTTCAGGGTGTGAAAGATGTTTCAGTTCTAACTCAGCCTGTGAAATGCCATGGTTTCTAGCCAGATTGTTAATAACTCCTCACTAATTATTAACTCCTGCTCCTAATCTGGGCAGGCTGAAGGGCTGCAGTCCATTCCAAGCCTTGGAGTATCCACCACACCCTGTACTAACTCTGCCTGTGGGAATATTTTCAGCTAACAGGAGCATGGGATGATCATCAGCATCCTCTCCTTCCTACTAACTTGTGGCCTAAATATGCTCCTGATATGGGACGGTCCCAGCTTTTTGCTGTGAAACCAGAACTCCCTTCCCATCTCAATTATTCCTCCCTGAATACTTGCACAATTCCTCATGTCTTGCTCGGATTTGCATGCCCTGGAGCTAATTGGGGTGAGCCAGACTCCCATCACACTTATGCTACATATTCCCCGGGAGATGGGTCTTCTCCATATGCACTTCAAGATCACAGGGGAAATTCATTTCTCGGCTTCTCTTCAGTATCATTTCTCTTTCTTTTTGAGAATTACTTATTGCCAGGTTTCTTATCCCCAGAGCAAGTCGCATTTCCTAATTATTAATCTACCCTTTCATCATCTGCCATTTCATTTATTCATGGTGCTTGCCCACCTTTGTTCCATTTTCCCTTTTTTTAAAAGTAATTCAGTTATAGGGCTGGCCAAGTGCAGAAACTTATCACAATATTTCTACTTTTCTTTTAATGCAAATCTGTTTTACTTGCCTGTCCAAATGAAATGCTGCTATTTCTGCATTATGTCTTTCATAGTCTGAGAAATAAAAAAAGTCAGGTGGGGTTTCTTGTTCTCTGGTTTGTCTGCAAAGAAAAACAAGGAAAGTGTTTTAATGAAGGGTTAGCATTTCTAAGGAGCAGTACTCAGTCATCAGCATGTTATTCAGGAGTTCAGTATTGTTTGCTTAATGGAAGGCCTTTAAGTACTTCATGTGTGCATTATTTGCCAGGTAGCCTTCATTTTGTCTTCTTTTTTAAATTACTCTAACAAAAAATAGGAATTCAAGAGTTGTGCATACAGGCTGCTGTCACAAAGCTATTCCACTCAAGACTCTTGCTCTATTTAACCAGATCTGTTTTATCACTCTCAAACATTTCATTAGTGATAGTGGTGAAGACAATGTTATTTCATTAAATTATCATTAACTGTAATTATGAAATTTCCAAAAGTAATAACATTTTTCTTTCATCTTTGGCAGTCATGCAGTTGCTATCTAAAACACGACTCTCCCTTTGTATTACTTAGAGCCAAAAGTGACATGTTTTTCTCATTTCAGAAGAAATGGGATCATTGCAGTTTGACGGCCACGACACATGTCACATTTCAAAGAACATTAACAAGACTGTGCTCCAGAGAGGATGCAGAATTTGTTGTTTCTTCAGCTTGAGAACCAATAAAAAATGTCATTCTGATGGAAATAGAAAGGCTAAAGCTTCAACATCGAGCTCCATGGAAAATAGAAAGCTCTATATAACAGCGGAGCAAATCTCTCTCTCGCTTTAGGCAATTTCCAGTCCTGATGGCTTTTGGATGGAGCACAACTCAGGCAGTTGACCTGTACAATGTCTGGGCCCCACCTCAAACTGCATCATGCCCTATTTTGAAGACTTAAATGGGCAATAAGCACTGCAAAGCTGTTCTGCAGAGCATCTGCAAGGGAGGACGGTTCCCCAGAACAGAAAAACAAAGCTCTTTCTCATTCCCTGCTGTCACAGGTGGCCAGCTGACAGCTCATGCGTCACCCATGCTACACATTGGCAATTAAAATACAGCTTCTATGCCGGGACCTTGTCACGTGAAAGGCTTTGGGGTGGTGCAGGTGCAGAGCTCAAACCTCCAGAGAATTGGCAGCAAGTCCTAATTATGGGACTTGTTGGGAATCCAAAGCTGTGTCCACCCATACTCATTCCCACAAAGACCACCATGACTATCGGGACTGGTATATGCCTATGAGCCCTCCCATATCTGTCTCGCTGAAGAAACCAGATGAGTCTCGTGGTTTTCAGCTATATGAAGATTTTGCTGTGCAACCAGCAGGGTCTGAAAGGCTGATATCCTTTCTCAGACATTCTTCTTTATATTAACATCTTGGCAAGGAACTCTTATCTTGCCCTAAATGATGAACAATTGCCATCATAGAGGCAACATCAAGATATTTGACTTGTGTCCAGTATAACTCAAGGTCGGAGGGTCCTCCAACACCCCAGTGATGCTCTGGCCAAAACAGCATTGATCACTGTAATAGTAGTGGTCATGGAGGTGGCCAACACTTGGCATAAGTCCTGCTAGGGTGCTGCTGTGGCTGCCAAGGTTTCACAAGGAGACAAGCTAAAAGTGAGCCTGGCATAAAATAAAAAATAATATTTTGCTTTGTCTCCACAATAAATGCAAAAGGAGCAGAAGCACATCCACAAAGAGGAATATGGGAGAGCCAGAAACCTGTGGTATGTTACACACTACACCATGCAATCAAGACAAGAGCTAGGAGAGCTGCAACCTCATTGTGCATATTCCCCTCAAAAACAAAGAAATGAGCTCTGACTATGAACTCAAAGGAAAAGATTAACCTATTTCTGTTGGGCAGAAAATTACACATTTGTATATAACTTTCCCTCCCCTCCAGATTTTAAAATACTCAATTTCTTCAACAAATCAAAGAGAGAAAGATTCATCCCAAGCTTTTGCAAACTCTACACATATCAGCACAGCTGATAAGTTGTAGAAAATATTACTAATTAGCTAATCAATGCCATCTGCTTTTTATCTCCTGAAGACTTTAAACAAATCATGGCTGTTCCTTTACAAGAAAATCTTGCTCCAGAAAATCAGACTTAAATAAATAAAGGGTAGATCTCAATCTTGCAAACACAGCTAGACCCACAGCCTGGCTCCTTTGCGCTGCCTGCTCGACACGCTGGGCAGTCAGTACATCACCGCCAGGATAGTCCGGTCTCTCTAATTTCACTTTTCTATTTGCTCCCTGCCACCCCTGGCAATGGCTGGCGATATTATTCATTTGGGAGTAAGTATAGCTGTCCTGCAGGCTTAGACTTGTTTGTACATATTTCTCTCCTGTCATAATGTATTATTAAGTGGTAGTGCACCCTCTTCAAAAATCATGAACTTGGTTATCCTAAAACTTTCAAAAATGGACACCAAATCCACAGCGCAATCTAGACAATGGAAATATTGCTATTTTTTAAACCTGACTATACATCATGAAATAAACTCCCAAGTTTCTTTGGTGCTTCAGGTGCTTCCCTCTACTTATCTACAAAAAAACCACCCTCCAGCCACAGTCCCCATGGTCCATGCCCATGTAAAACAGTTATGGCTCCCACTTTCCTGTCTCTTGGAAATACTGGGTTATTCTGAACATAGACTGGAAGGAGTATTTATCAAATCCTCAATCTGCTTTACATGCCTTATGTTCTTTTGCAAAGCTCTGCAGAACTAAGATGTAGCAAATCCAACATGAAACTCTCTCCTGAAGTAACCTGGAAAAATCCTTTCTGCTGACTTATTCCAGTATCCCATAGAGAGAACTGGAACCTTGTTCTTTGTATCTGACTTCAGCTGGCAAGAGTTTTATTTAAACATACATTTATTGTTAATTTGATGTCTGAAGCAGCACCTCAAGAGATTCGTTGATAGTTCCTTAGCCACAGTAAGCTGCCATACCACCAGCAAAAGCTAACACGTCTGACGATCATAGCCTAAGGTACACAACTGAATTTAAAAAGTGACATGACCCTCAAAAGGCTTTGAATCAATGGAATCAATGGATTATTATGAGAATGGCTTTAACAGTGTTAAAAGGGCACCTACACAGTAATCGGTATCTTTTGCTTTATCCAAATGTATTTATACATGATTTTATTTTATCCACATTAGAAAACTTGCTATTTTTTAGTGTGCACAATCTAATCAATGCATTGCCTGGTTTGGTGCTAATTCTTTCAATGATGTATTCTGACATATATGTATAGAGATGCAGAAGATCAAACTCTGCTCTCAGCAACACAGGCATACAGTCAGCAAGTCCTACTAGTTACTCCAGCTTTAGATCATGGTAACTGGCCCTCAGTCTCTAAGTGACAGGCTGGGAAAGGGGCATGCACTCTGAGACCCTTCCACGTCAAGTAAAGTACCTTATAAAACAACACTGGAACCGATCCATCCCACAGAATGTTTTAAATCAGAATTGTGTTTTAAAGGGGAAAAAAACCCCAACCCTCAAGTTATTTTGGTTTTATTACCTTATGGCTATTGAAGGTTATTTTCTAATAAAATGATACACATAATGAGATATTTGAGCAAACAGACCAATATGCTGAACCCTCTGCAGAAGTGTATGCTTCTGAGGGACAATAAATTAAAGCAATGGTCAGAGCTCCTCAGTGCCAGCAGTAACACCTCACAACATGCAGGACACAGGTTCTGCACAGGTTGCAGACGGTGGAAGAGGATTTCTGGCAGCAGCTCTTATTTTGCAAACAGTTGGAATCTGGTGATCCTCTCTTTGGAGAAGGATTTGGCAGATATTTATAACAGCAGGCTGGGAAGCTCTGGAGGAGAGACAGATGGAGGTCTGTTGATACTGCACACAGTTAAAAATTACACAGTGGCACCAGACCAATTACAGCATGAGGAAAAGACAAATCAGCACGGTAGTACTAGTAAAGGAGAAATAAGAACTAAGGGGAAATCAAAGCCCATGAAAATTTCCCCACCATGGCACAACTCAGAGAAAACACAGGAAGTAAAGAATGATTTTAAACAGGACAGGGACATGTTTGCATTGACACAAGATGAGATGCAACTGTGATCTGATCTTGTGGCTAGAAGAGCAAGTCATGCTTACAAATAGACGAAATAAAGCTACTCTGATAAATGAACAGTCATGAATAAATCTGGTAAGTTAGCTCCATTCTAGCTATGGCTGGCACCTGTTTTGGTGTTCAGTAGTATTTGGATAAACCAATATAGTGATTTGCATGCAGAAATAATTGCAAAGCCTCAAGATTTTCTTAAATGTTTCAGTAAACATTTTTTGGCCAATTACTTGGTCCCCAAAACCCAACATTAATAATTTCTTGGTTGGTTGGTTGTTTTTTTTTCTGCCATTGATGAACCTCATCACCACAGTGAGACTGCAGGCTCTGCAGACTCTCTGGCATTTCAGAAAATGCCGTTATAGAAACTAAACCTTTAACATGGAAATCTATATTTAGTTTCCAGTATCACTCGTATACACCTGCCTAAATTACCAGGATTAATACCCACCAGGGCCATGTATTACTCGAAAGAATCCTGCCTCGATGCCAGACTTCCTCTACTCTGGAGGGGTCCTATTGTACGTACAGCAGCCAAAAAGCTAGAAAATAGGGCAAACAGCCCATTCTGAGTCAAGTGTTATCCTGACAGACGCATGCTGTCTTCCTATGCTGCAGTCCAGAGACATTTCAGAGACACCTTTTGTGTCAAACCCGCGTACCTTAACTAATGAAAGGACATGCCGCTGATTTGAAAACAGCTCCTTTTAAATAGGTTGCACTCCTGTTCTGACACATAATCAGGGGAATCAACCACAGGGATTAGGGATGATTATGGATCACAACAATGAGCTTTGCTGCAGCGGGGAGCGGGTTTGCTTGGGTTAGACCATTTTGCAGATGGAGAACCTGACCCTCTCTGGCCAGGGAAATTCAGCAACAGCAAAATCACTAAGAGACGTAACAACCCAACGAGGTGTGGTAATTGCATGGGCAGGGACACGACTAACATTGATAAGAGAGTAATT